GCTATTTTTGGGTACGTGTAGGATGAATATTTGCTGATATTTGAGTGTAATTACTTTGTTTTATTTCCATCTTTTGATCTTTTTTTAACTGACACAAAGCTTATAAAATTGGCAGTATTCAGAGTATCTTCAGACGTGTAGTACCGGAATGTGCTCCCTCATTGTCTTGTCAGATTCACACGGATGCGCCATATGGTCAATTAACTTCTCCACGCTGTCTTCCTCTGGTGTATATTTGGGTTGTAATTGAGGTGAAAGCCCACATATGTGAGATAAGAGTTTATTGTGTGTCTTATTTACAATACTTTGTGATATGATAACTATCTGGACTAATGACAGATAATTTACTTCAATATTCCTCACAGTTTTCAACTTAGTGTTATTTGGACTAAGTTTAAATCTTTGGTTTCTTGTATACTGCATTTGATAGAGGCTTTTTGAACAGTGTTGTGGGCTTGCTTTTGAAATGAATGGTTCACTAATAATTAGTTATAATTAGAGTTATGAAATAATACATGTTTGTTTGTCTTCACAGTCAGTCAGGCCATCACACACAGACAGAAATATCTCAACCACTAGGCCGATAGATATAGATGGCCTATATGGCTTCATAGCAGCGTTAGCATGGCTATACGTTTTATGTCTGTTTTAAAGCTAAAAGGAAAGCAAAATTATGATAGGTATCATATTGTATGATCTATACATGTTCATAATGAATGTATGTGACCAGATATTTCTTTATACCTTGAATTGATACAGGGAAACAATTATTTACCTTTTTCTTGTTTTCTTTTTTGGTTAAGGTGGAGGAGAGGAAGCTCCTTTTTTACGAAAGTAGGAACCCTCCTCTGCACATACATAATTAAAAAGGCTGGATTTAGAGCAAACTGCTGAGTTGGCCCATTTATGATTCATAGAAGTATGAAGCCCTATTTGGTCTGGGGCTCATCAGATAGACAGAAAAACAAAAATCTTGTCAACGGTGTTGGAAAAAGTTTGGCTTGGTCCCTGTTAGCTAGGAGAACATTGACATGTGCTCTTTCAGCCACCCTAAAGGAACCCTTTAACAATAGATGCACCAGCTAAAATGACTGTTAATGTGTTTATAAACTGGTAAATATTGCATGTTAAAATATGCAAGTAGATATTTAGCGCTGGTCTTGTTGGGTAATAAGAAAGTTGTCAGGCATGCTTGATCATATTCTCTTTGGTACTTGGTTTCCTCCGCCCTGAAGGTGAACAAAACAAGAAGTATGTCTATTCTTTCACCACCCACACACAAATTGCCTATTTAAGCCACCATCTTCCATTTATTCCACTTTATTTGCTCCATGTCAGTGACAGCCCTGCTCTCACCTCCTCTATCTCTAAATCCTTAAATTGCTGCATAAGCCTGTCAGTCAATCTACCAGTAAAAGGGATGGTACTTTGTCGTTTTCTGCTCCCCAGCCAATAAAACGGAGATATAACTGCTTAATCAATGACAGATGGCCTAGGCCCCAGACGGAAGATAAATCAGCCACATTTTAGAGGAAAAAAACCACACAGGTGATCAATACAAAACACACCTCAAGGCTCTCATATTTTCTCCAATATGCTCACCAAAAAAAGCCAGTAGGGGTAATACAAAATTCAATTTTCAGTAGAAACTGCTGGTTAAAAAAAATGAAAAGAGTAACAGAAATACAACATGATGGTTTCAGATTCAGGTATGGAATTATAGCTTTTGCTCCCTTGAGTAACTAGGCTGCAAACTGTGAAAGCGAGAAAACACCTTGACATGAAAATGTCAGCCTAACAAAAGTTCACAGTATGGGTTACTGTGTTAAATCCCTGAGATCATGAAATCAGTCGGATGCCCTTTCTAATTTCTATTTTCAAACATCACAGGCTCTGAAAACAGAGTTAATTAGCTCTGGTAATTTCTGGCTTCTGCCTTTTCATTCCCAAACAGAAGATAGTTCATCTTGTTGCTTTGTATATTAATCAGTGCACAACCTTATGAGTGTGATTCCTCACAGAGAGAGTACAAAGTTTTGCACATGACTTGAGATTTTCCCACTGATTAAACACATAGTGCAAGTGGAGTGTTGTTCCTGTGCATACTTGTCACAAATTTTCAACTGATCAGTTGTTGTGATGCTTGAAACTTGCTGCACTACAGGGCATACTAATTAACTTGACCTACTATCGCCAGTAATTAGTCTTCATTATGTGCTCACATTTGTTTTAAATTGCCCCCCACAAATCAAGCTGATGAGTCCAGGAAATATGAGGTATACAAGCTTCTTATATGTAAAATATTGCAAAGAAAAGCTAGTGATTTCCATATTAGATGATATATTATACATATATGTTTATTTTAAGGAGAGTATCTGCTAGTGGAGCCTCTGCTGAAGCTGCCGGGCATAATATTAGTGTAGTCAGGATTAGGGAAGCTTAACATGTTGCTATCTCCCTAGAGATATTTAATAGAGCAAATTCATTCTCCAGTTAAGTGCGATAATAAAAAAATCTCCAGCATTTCACTTTCTTGAACAGCAGTCTCAATGTTTCTTCAAGTAAACCCTCCATGAATTTCTTATGGTGAGATTATGCACCCAGGATGGTAAAATGGTGAGACACGGCACTATTGCTTCCCGGTTTCATTGTGGTTCAATGAGCTGTGAGGAAGTTTAGACTTCATAGTGTTTTTTTCATCCCTCCATTTATCCCTGCGACACAGACACTGGATGCTTAAGCAGTTACAGCTTCATACACACCCCAGCAGTTTGATAGTCACATGTTTGTGGGAAATTGAGGCGTTCTCCTATTAGTCTTGGGAGAAACAAACGACCCCATAACCAGCAAAGATGACAGAGGAGACTAGGAAGCTCACAGCCAATCAACTAATGAAAAGATTTTTAAAGGAGTAGTATAGCATTTTAGGAAATATGTTCTTGCCAAGAGATAGCTGTGAATATAAATATCTCTCATGTTTTATGCACTCTGAAGGTTAGCTTAGCTTAGCATGAAGACTGGAAGCTCAGGGAAACATCCGCCTACATTAATGAGATGTAACATGTTAATTAGTGAGCTTTGGGAGGCGCTGGTGATGACAGAGGCAAGCTAGCCGTTTTATGAAGCCTCCAGTGTTCATGCTAAGCTGAGCCAACTGTCTCTTGGCTGCATAGAATCATATTTAACGGACAGACATAAAAGTGGTAGCCACCTTCCCATCAGCAGGAAATGTGCAACCATTCCTTTAATAATAACGATCTCAGTCACAGCAACATGTTTTGTGAGGTCACATGGATATTCTGTATGTTTTGCTTTTAATTAAGAAAATTAAAGATTGATTATTTGGTACTTACATGCCAGTAATTCGACCACCATAGTAAAATAAGCATTCACTTTATCTATGACACTTCTTCATTGTATTAATTTCTTCATAAATTAATGGAATATTCATATACTACCCAAGTATTGCACCTATATAAGCTCAATTATATCTGTTAAAGTTAATATTCCCTGCTGTTTGATTTATGGTCACTGCGAATGGCTTAATGTAAATGTTGACACAGAGTTAATTACCACAGCATTACAAATCACCTCCATGGTGTTCTGTGTGGCTTACAGTCACAGTCATACAGTGGGCAGCTAGTGGCAGAATGATCTATATTAGCAGCTGAGGTTCCTGTTGCATTGCCTGGGGGTTAAACTCAACAATCTAATTAAAGTTCTTTCAACTTCCCCCATCTTGAAGTAACTAGTAATGTGCGCCTGCCTTTAATCAACATATGCCACCCTACTTTACTTTCATTTTAGTTTTTATTTACATCCGTATTCATACATTTGGCTTTGTTGTTGTAAAATGGATCATTGTATTTAGTATTAAAGTTGAGACAGACAAACATTTATTGCTCTTGTGCTGTGAAATGAATGCTGCACACATGTGAAAACTATGGGTCTCATGAGAGTGTTCTTGAGGCTTCTTGAGAAGATTATGGGAATCCCACTCCAAGCTTGACACCAAATCGAAGAAATCATCCAGAATCTATTTACAGAAGGTAGCCAAACAAATATGGCAATAAAAATAGAGCAGACGGTGAACCCCACATTTTAAACATGACCTAGACCATAATGACACAGTATGTGTCCTATAAATTAAACTGTATGCATGTGAAAGCAGAACATGGTTGCAGCTTTCTATTTCCTTCATCACAGCATAATTAATTCAGATGGGAAAAATCAAATCTTCCTCTCAAAATGGTTGAGTTTTAATCTTATGAACATGATGATGATGATGATGATGATGACTGACCGACGCACATCCCTTTTTCCCTTCTGAGAGATGACGAATACGAGCGGGTTTAGGTGGGGAGCGTCTTGGGGAGAAGGAGGAGGAGGAGGAAGAGGAAGAAAAACCACTGGCTGTGACAGTAACAGTTGCTTCTCTCCCCTGGCTCTTTCTCCCCGCTTCATCATCATCATCATCACCACCACCATCATCATCGTCACCCTCAGCAACAGCAGCTTCAGCTTCATCAGCAGCAGAAGCAGAAGCAGAGGCAGAGGCAGCGTCCATCGACAGAGTGGAAGAACAAATAAGCAGCACGCATCTTCAAGAGGCGCTCCACTCGAAAGGGGAGAGATGGGGAAATGGCAGTTGACCGACTGTAAGGATCAAGAAATCAAAAGAGATCTTCATTTATGATACAAACGCGGGTTTGTGCATCAATAGGAACTATTCTAAGAACAAAAGGTAAGATATTTGGCGATACTGTGTTTTTCTTGCTGCACACAGTTGATACTACAGTGCAAAAAAAATATATCCTGTCAATTCATAAGGGTTTTGCAGGATGGAAAAACAACTGCAAATACACGCTCCTTGTGCCAGTTTGACCTGCATTAAACTAAAATTTAGTAATTCACGTGACAAGATCTTGCATGTATCAACTGCTCACCCAAAGGAGAAATTGTGTTTTTTGTGCGTTTTTTAATGTCTTGAATTTCTGAAAATAATAATTCTGACTGATTTTGTCAAGATATTAAGTCATCTTTTAATTGGCTCACGGCTTTGCTTTGAGGTGTCTTCTCAGACTAAAAAAAGATTAAATGTTTCTTTTTATATTATCATCCTACCGTCTAACATCACATTACCGTCGTTTATTATTACGGATCAAGTTATAATAATGTCGATTTCAAAAAGGAGGAGCAACCGTATATAAGAGGAGGCAAATTAGAGCATCTATCTGCCCCCTTGTGGTTTTGATTCATGCTGTCTCAAGGAATTGACAAAATAAATGTAGTAGTGATAATAATGCTACAAGATGTAGTACTAATAATGATATTTTATTCTGATATTCAAGGGCTTCTTTTTTAATTACACCTTTGTTCATTTTATAACAACCTTTGGTAATTTCACCCTTAAACCAAATCTTGCTGCTCAAAGCATCACAAATCTCCATTCAAACTATTCAGCACTATTTAACCCTTTCACACAGTCCTTTTTTTCAGGGTTTGTTAAATTTACGGTGTGTAACTCCATTCATCTCATAAGTGGCCCACATTCATGTATCGTCCCCTCTGTGGTTTCCTGTTATGTAATTTCATCCCCATCAGACTGCATCAGCCTCAGAATGTTTGCTGCTCGGCTTATATGAGCTCACATGGGATATATATAGAAGTAACCCAACACAAGTGTAAGACTAGGCAGAGTACAAAGGTAAAAGAGATAGGAGTAATAAGTGTGCGCTTCATCTGTGTGTATGCATGTGTGTGAGCGTGTCAGCACATGTGTGTATTTTGTATGTGTGTGTGGGTGTGAGGAGTGGATACTGAGAAAGCATGTGATGAATTATGCAAACGTTTCTCTTTGTTTCAGAAAAGCTCTGTTTTGACAGAATTTCAATGTTATTTTCGCACAATTATGCCGCAATGATTTTTATTTAATTTTTCAGATTACCCCTTCTGACGTATAAAGAAACATGGATGTATCTTCATCCTCACTGCAGTACGGATCAAAAAAGCGGGTTAAGATTCACCCAGACACGGTAACTGTGAAATATGCCACTCACTTCCCCCAGCCTGGGGATGAAGGGTACGATGACGCACCCTCTTTTGAGGACTTTGGCGCCTTCGCGGAGGCTAATGTGGGAAAGAGACTGGTGTCAGACAGCAAAGGTGGCAGGACTTTCTTTGGAACCATGGAGACCCAGCCTAAGCCGCCAAGTGTGCAAAAAGACAAGGGGGTCGGGGGCCAGCTGGCCAGCTTCGGCGAGGCGAATGTGTTGGCCTCCAGGGTGACCTGGATGGCCTTGTTTGGAGCAGCGGTGGCTCATGGTTGTGTGGCACTGATAACTCGTCTAGCAGCTGACCGCTCTAAAGTGCCCTCTCTCGAGCTGCTCTTCATCCGCTCTGTGATCCAAGTGCTCTCCATCCTGGTGGTCTTCTACTACCACGAGGCCCCCTTTGGCCCTAAGGGCTACCGACTGCGTCTCTTCTTCTACGGCGTGTGCAACGTAATCTCAATCACCTGCGCCTACACCTCTTTTGCCATAGTACCTCCCAGTAATGGCACCATAATGTGGCGTGCCTCCACCACAGTTTTCAGTGCAGTACTGGCCTTCCTGTTGCTGGATGAGAGGCTGGGATACACAGACGTGGTCACAGTGGTGGGAAGCGTGTTCGGTCTGTGTCTGGTGATGGTACCAAACGTAGCAGATGAGGAGAAGTCCAGGCTGGGGTTTTGGAAGGAGGCCTTTGGCTACACAATGACAGTGATGGCCGGCTTGACTGCTGCCCTCTCCATGATCGTCTACAGAGCCATTAAGGAGCGCGTCAGCATGTGGACGGCACTCTTTACCTTCGGCTGGACGGGCACAGTGTGGGGTGCCTCCACCATGTTTATCATGCAGGAGCCAATCATTCCTCTGGATGGGGAGACCTGGGGCTATTTAATTGGGATCTGTATCTGCTCCACCGTGGCATTCCTCGGAGTCTACTATGCTCTAAACAAGTTTCATCCAGCCTTAGTTAGCACCGTGCAGCACCTAGAGATCGTGGTTGCAATGTTCCTCCAACTCATTGTTCTGAGGATGATCCCGTCTGTCTACGACGTCATAGGAGGCCTGGTCATCATGATCAGCGTGTTCACCCTGACAGGAGTCAAGCTGTACAGGGTGAGCAGGGCCATTCGGCAGGATTATCAAGAGATCCTAGACTCGCCCATCAAATGAGTTTTGATATGTCAGTCTATTTGTTTACAATGTTGCTTGGTTGTGCAATTTAAAGAATGTCTGGATCTTCATCTGATGATTTTGTATTGTTGTGTTGTTGAAAGGGTGCCAGTTGTGTAAGTAATGTCTTAATATTTGTGTGTGAAATAAAAGACAAATGTAATATGGTGACCATTTCCCCCTGATAGTACTGCTTTAATGTCAAGTTGTGTCAAAGACAAAGATGTCAGCAAAAAAAACAAAAAACATGAATCAGTTTAATTTTTGTTATTTACTTTGCTCAAACATTTGAAACCATATTTAATCTGGTCTTGTGAGTGGCAGTGTAAGATGAACATTTCAATGAATCAACAAGGTGTGGTGTATCCCTCTGTTGTCACACTGCCACACTTGTCACACTGTGTAAATGTCAGCCCAGAAATCATTCGTACTACATACAAGGAATGAAAGAATAAAAATAAATACCACCCACATTTCATAAAATAACTGGTATTGCTTTTCTTAGCCTTAATCGGTTGCTTGCCAAGACGGTGTAATTTCAAAATAAAATGTGAATTTAGAGGAGGCATCATATACAATGTAACTATAACTGGAATTTTTCTTATTAAAAATTAGATTTACAAAGAGACAGATGGACGATCCAACATTATCTTGTGCACAGGAAAACTGGCAATCTGTATTATTCCATATACAGTTTCCTCCCATATTATGTGCACAAACTGCACTTTTCAGTGCTTTCTTACTGCCTCTTGCGTATGTTCTGGCCCCGGCAGCTGCTTGATATTTAAGGCTAGTGATTACATGCCTGAATGCTGCTTCTGTTTACTTTCAGACACATATCAGACTAATGCCCAGAGGCAGGTGCACTGTACTGAATTAAAGTCCCCCTTAACAACATGAGAACATCTGCTTTTTCTGTAGTAGGCGATTCACACAGGGATGTGTCCTTTCTCTGTGTAGAAAACCAAGCCGATGCAGTCGCTCTCTGATTCCCCCAAGGCAAAAGCAACAGTGATGGAATGAAATAAAGACATAATGACGATGCAGAGTGGATGAAAGAGGACATGTTGCCTGTTGCGGGTCAGAACTGACACAACATGGATGTTTCACTAACGGCCCAGCAGGTGGCATTAACAATCCACCTTATTACTCAGAGTTTGTTGAAGTGATACTGTATTACAGTACATTATGAAGGTAATTAGTGGTATATCCAAACAATATTCAGCTACAGGCAGTTATTGCATTAAAATAAAAATACTTAATCCAATCCTTTTTTATTTAGTGGCCAGAAGCAGAAGAAGAGTTATTGGACAGCTGATTGTATGCATAGTATCACCTAATAAAGGTTTATAAATTTATGACACTCTGTTGAATGTCTAACATATTTCTATTGAAGCTGGAAATAATCAGTTGTGTGTTAATGACCACACTCATAGCAGAGGTGTTGCTGAAATCAAATCATTCTGTGTGAGGAAAATCTACTATCAGTGATTTTTATTTACTATCAGTAAACTACAGCTCAATTCATTTACAACCCAAAGTCAAACAACCGCCATCATAAACACATCACAATGTGAAATTGTCTTTTACTTTGAAAACACATTCTGTCTGTCATGTAAAGTTATCTTTTAAAACACCAGGGCCGGTGGCTAAAGTTTAGTTTTCAAACGAAAAAAGGTGAATAAACTGAGATAAAGTGTGTTTAGTCTCCCTTTATATTTGTATTATAGTATTGTTTTGAGATGGGTTTTAGGTGCAGAAAGCAGAATACATGTAGAGGAGGCCCATCTGTTTGAGCAGGAAACAGATTGCATCCTGCAGCGAGCTGCACAACCTTCCAAATTACTCTGCAACTCTCTTCACCACAGACATGTTTATTAGAAGTACTATCATTTCCCAGGAGGGGCCTGAATGGAATTTGATGATGAGTTATTGTATGTATGCTGCAAAGTACAGATGACTGAGCATTTTTATGAAAGGCTCAAAAACACCCTACTTTCCAGCTACTAAATATATTCTATTCATCATATAAGGCTGCATATTGCTATCTGCAGCCAACAGACTAAATAAATTAGGAAAAGAAGGTGCAGTTCCCTTTTGATGTGAGCTGATTGTCCACACCTTTATACTTTTCGTTTTTCTTTATCTAGTTATGGATTCAAAATGAAGTTGCAAAAAGTGCTAATTATAACTTTCACTAAATTATAGGCCTACAGGATGACATGCAATCCCCACTCACTGCTTTAAAAGCCTCGAGTGCAACTTTTCTTTTGCACAGCTGATTCTAAGCCATCTAAATGAATAAGCAAAACACAAGCACACAACAACACGATACGCCTGTCTATGACTCTGCTCATATACATGTTTCTTTTATTCCTTTATAGCAATTAGGCCGTTACCCCCTTTCACAAAGCGAAAAAAAACATGACGGATGCTTATGGGAACGCAAAACACCAGCAGCTGCAGTGTGATTGAGTGACAGCGGCGTCGTCCAATCAACAGAGACTCGATTCCCTCCGCAGCCAATTGGACGCGAGGGGGGCGGGGCCTGGCGTCCGAACAGCTTGTGCTAGCCTAGCCTAGCCGCGCTGCCGAGCAGTGACATGCTTTGATACAGAAATGCTCTTCCAACGGGGCACAGCGTCTCTCAGCTAGGCTAACTCACTGGAGGTGGGAAATTAACTGGCTGCCAGCTAGGACTCTGGATATCATTTGCGTGCAACCACTTCCACTGTCTTGCCTGACGTTTTCTACACGTTTAATATCCCCCCCTCCCCTCCCCGGCCTGAAGGAGAGGAGAAGAGGTGGCCATCGGCAATTAAGGGGTAAGACGTGATATGACTGAATGTGATCTGGCGGTGTGAAAAGCTATCTGAATCCAGGCTACGGGTTAGCTTCTGCTACTGTTGAATCCACCGAGTAACGTTACAACTCGGCTAAATGTTAACCCAGACAAGAGAGGAGGGAGAGAAAAATAAATAACCCGAGTCAGTCGCCTTGCCAACATGGCCAACATACTGTTAACCCAGCTGGCTATCGGCTAGTTTGGCTGTAACCATTTCCTATTTTTTTTTTTTTTTACCCCCCCGTGTTTTTTTTCTTTCCCTCAGCCGGGTTAACGTTAGCCAAGTTAAGGTAGCATGACACGCAAGTTATAAGCTGAAAACCAAATAAAAAAAAAAATAAGCTCAGATAAAACTGCTGCACTTCATTTCAAGCAGTCCACCACGTTTAAGGCTTTTATTTGTTGAGACTGAAAATGGAGAGGACGTCTTAACCGCAGCCACTGTGAACGCTTTACAGTGCACATCGCATCCTCTCGTTTACTGCATTCACAATGCCTCCTTCTGTTCTCTTGTGCATTTTATTTATTTGTTTTTAATATGTCACGTTAACTAATGCCCCTGTCTAAGTTGTTGGGCGCTCATTGGACCCGTCTTGCTCAGGGTCACGATGGATTCATTCCCTGACATTAACTTAAATGAACCTTTACTTGTGTTAAACAGCCAGTTAACTGTGATTGTACACACACACACAAATAGGTTATTGTAGTCATTCTGCCACCTCTTGTTTGCCTACTAGTTTTGTTAATGCATTGCAATTACTGTCCTCATTATTTACTTGAATACAAAGAGTCCAGGGTTTAGATATCTTGTTTGAAAGATAAGATCATCCTTTATTGATCCCACATTCACATGTTACAGCCTCACAAGGACAACAGCTGTTGTGAATTGATAAATGACTTAAATCAATTATCAAAATTGTTGCAGAGTAAATTTCTGTCAACGGACTAATCATTTCCTCTCTGATCCGAAAGAGCGAAACTTAGCATACTTGTAGGAAAATGTCTGTGAACTTTCATCTACCCAGGAAGACCGGTAATAGATAGGCAAATGCACTGTGTAAGTGAAGCCATTTTTTTGTTTTGGGGTAAGATTTGAGATAATTGCTCCCTCTGTTTATCTCCTAACATTGTTTCTACCTTACACAACCTAAGCCAGACTAAATGTCATGCTTCGGCAGCACAATGGGCGATAAGGCCGTATAATTGTTGGCAAGCTCTCGTGGCTCGTGTTTGTGCGGCCGGTTACAAAACGTGGTCGACAGTACTGTAAAACAATCAGCGCACTAATATTGCTGGAGTATTTAATCTCACAGATACTGCGGTTGGTTGGAGCTGAATGATTTAAGAGGCCAGCGTGTGTGTGTCTTTCCAAACGCCAAAGGAGGAGGGTGGGGGTCTTTTTGCAGCTGCTGAATAGTATAGTTTCTGTAATTATTGTCACACTGACAGACCTCTTCACAGTCTCTCATTAAGGTTTCAGGGAGGTGAGAGGAGGGGGGTGGGGGGGACATTTGGTCTGCTGTAGCTCTGTGGGAGTCTGAGGGAGGATCGCCACGGTTTGCAGGGAGAGGGATGGTGGAGACCTGCTTACCATCATGGTTTCCTTGAAGCCTGCTATTATATTTCTCTCGGGCGTTGGGGGGCCAATTTGTAAGACATGTGAAAACCTATGGAGAACCTTTTGCACCTATCAGCTGCCAGCTCATGAGCTCATGGCCAAACCCCTGAACTAAAGCTTTCACTATGCAGCTATGCGTGTTGATATTGCAGTGATTTGTCTCCGTCTGCTCCATCCTGTCCTATTTATAGTTCTTGTTGACTCATTATACCCTCGTAACTGCACCGTCATTCGAATGTTCCGACGGTGTGAACTTATGGATATGCAGCGATGAGCTCCTTTTTTCGTGTAAGATCCTGCCCCCGTCTCCTTCTCAGTGGCCCTCAAGCAGCCAAAATCTGTCCCCACAGCCTAGGGGAAAATACCAACTGTGCATTTTCTCGATAGCCAACAAATGAATGTGGCTGAAAATGTCTCTGGTCAAATGACAAGCCCAGGAATCTAGTCTATCGAGTGCCTTCTGGGTTCTATTGAAACCGGGGATTTTTGTTTTCTGCAATTGTCTCTTCTCTCTCGTTATCTCCCTTATTACATACAGTCTCTTCCAGTTCCTCTTTTTCTTTAATGTTTTCTGTCTCTTTCTGTCTGACATGTTTTCCTTTGACTGCCCATGCATGCATGCGAAGGTACTTTCTATACGTTTACCAAGGTCACCTGCTGAAAAAGGGAGTTCATTCAGCCCTTTCTCTTGACACAAACAGCAGGAGGAGAACGACAAGTGCGCTTTTTTTCAATTTTTTTTTTACCATTATCAGAATTTGAAATCTCTGTTTAGCCGTTAGTGTGCGCAAACGCAAAGTAATTAAACACAGTTGACTAGTGTTTAATTCTCCCCACTTCTGCAAATCCTACACTGTAGACTGTGTGTGGTCATATTGCTATCATTTCTCATTCGGAGTAAGTGATTTGACTTCCTCATACAGGAGAAAAGACGTGTGCAATATCAGTGGTGTTTTTCTGTATTAGTTCATTATGGTTCGGGGTTTTCTCTCAGTGGGTTTGGCAGTGTGAAAATGAGGATGTGTGTACTTGCAACTGCGGCTGTTATTGCGATGACAGAAGTTGTGTTTCCGTGAAAGAAAAACGCATATCTGTCAAAATGTGTAAATCTTGATTTTAAGTAGACTTTTGAGGCACAGCGGCAGTTTCACTTTGACACACTGAAACCAAGTTCAGTCTGCCCACCTCCTAGATATTTTGTGTGAATTTGTTGAATCAACAGTAGGTGTAGCCTATAATAGTTTTTCATATAGCTCTAGGAAATATTTGAACTAAAACATCTTAAGAACCAAAGTCTCTGCATTGCCGCAGACTTTTATGCGCCGACTGTACAGATCAGTTGACCAGCCACAACGTTTTGCATGTTGCGTCCCGTGACCTTTCCAATAAAGTTTATTTAAACAATACAACTGTGTTTACAAAAAGAGAGAAAGCCAGCTTTACTTTGTACAGAAAGCAAGAAGGAAAAAACCAAACTATGTAGCTGGAAGATGCAGAGAATATGTCTGTTATGCAGCAAAGTTCAGTTTTGTATGACGGCAGTGTTACTCAAGACTACGGTTTAGCCACAGCGTATAAAATAATACAGCTTGTGGGTAATCAGACAGTGGAACTGCCCAAACTGTAATACAGAAGACCAAAACTGTGGACATGAGTGTCAAACGACAGAAATTTGTCCTGATTCTAAAATTAGTCAGGATCAACCAATATGAGCCTAAAATTGTGCTTAATGTCTGATACTGTCTGCCTTACTTAAGCATTTCCTTTTTGTCATTACAGAACTAATTGTTCAATCAATATTGAACTGATTTTTAAAGCTGTGTGCAGAATTTAAAATAAAATAAAACGTGATTGCAGTATCTTTCAAATTAGTCAATGGCACAGGTTTTGCTTGTAGGAAAGTGTATCCATCACAGTAAAACTTGGGTTCAGTCATTGTGTAACTTTCAACCCATCTTTCTACCTCTGGGTTTGACCCTGAATAACCTGCATTGTTGCCTGCCAGTGTCTTCTTCAACACTGACGGCAAGTAAAAATGACACAAGAAAATCTTCCCCAAGAACTCCCAGTTTCATCAAGCACAGCCTCCCAGTGTTTAAAGTGTGTGTAGGCCGTTTCTCATTCGGGCATCACGGAGGCGAGGGTTTCCGTGGAAAGTGTTTTTTTTTTCTCGTCCCGCTCCTATCAAACATCTTGCTGATGGCGTTGATTTAACGCAGACCCCAGATTTTTGTGGCATCACCATGCAAATCTGGAATGCCTCCTCTCCTCTCAAGACGCTCACACACAAGTTCCAACACGTGGCCCTCCCAGACGTGTGTCCCAAGTGGCTTGTTTAGTCCTATTGTGACAGCACCCTAGGGCTCATATTTGCCAGGATGTACGAAAACGAAGAGGAAGCCAGTGTATCCATTTCATCCCTCTGACACAGGCTGTCTGGGATTATTATCTTGTGGTTTACAAATGATCTGCTATTTTGACTGCAACAATAGCTTTTTCCAGGAGGCTGCAGTTGCAATGAGGTACACAGCTACAGAACACGGCCTGGCCCAATTTAGGTTTTATGTGGATCATCTCTTTTACTGACTCCTTAATGGCACTACTAGTCTTAAGTAGTCTGACAACACACAAAACCAAACCACAAACAGCTTTATTGTACTGCAGTACTTGATGATAGGAATCCTTTTGCTTTGTAAACTTGGATTAGTCATTGGGAAATCCCCCGGAGCTCTCAGGGTTGGTGAGGTAACCTGGAGGTTTATTCTGCTGTCGCCTTGATCCCAGACCGCTTGGATGTGGCCATCATTGGACCTGGTAGCTGTAAGCAAATAGGCCACCCAGAACAACAAGTGGCAACTGGAGCAAGCAGCAGGGCGTGGACGCGGATGTGTAGGCTCTGCTGATGTAGGTGGGGCCCGAGGAAATGGATCCTTTCTTACAGAGAGGTATTATGTTCTGGTGGGTATTTGCTAACAGAGGATGTAAACGTCCATTCATCCTGGTAGGCTGCTGCCGAGGCCAGTTGTTCGATACGTTACGTTCAGTTAGTGTAAATACTGGAAGGGAATAATTAGATAACGTGTCAGTCAGTGTATTTCTTCAAATACCAAAGCGGTGGTCTTTCTAAATTTAGCCTGTACGTTTTCTTCCAAGCACTTTGGTTATCTGTTTGTTGTGGTGTATGATATGATGCTTTGATCAGGCTTTTCTAGGCTGATACAGATCAGTGATTTACTTTATTCTGACAGTATTGCTTTTTTTTCCCCCCTGTAAGAGACTCTATAAAGCCACCACTTTTGTCTCATGTTGGTGTCATCCTTTTTATATCTTGAGCCGGTCTCACCATTCCAAAACAAAGGAAC